TGGGAAGGACCTGAACCCGGCAGGCCTGGGGCGGCTCGCCGAGCGGGCGCTGCCGGTACCCGGCCCGGGGCTAAGCGCCTGACCCGCGCACGCGCACGTAACCCTCGCAGGCACCCTAAAAGGCACGCCGTCTTCACCCCAGACTGGGAAGACTGCGGTCCCAAGAATGTAAGGTCACAGATGGCCGCAGGCGCCCAAAGGCCACATCTGTCCTCTTCCGGCAGGTTATCCCAAAGCATGAAAGGGGGGCGGGCGTGCAAGGGCCCTTCAAAGGAGACGCCGCGACGTGCTGCCGGGCCGCCGGCTCCCAGGGGCCTCTGGGGCCGGACGCCAGGGCCTCCCTGCCCACGTGGCTCTGTAACTCCCCTTCCATCTCTTTTCCTGTGCATCAGTGCGTTAGTCTCGGGGTTTTGTTGCCGTCGTTGTTGACACAGAAACTCAACGCAAACGAGGGAAGACAAACGAGGAACGGCCCTGGCATGTTCCTAAAACTCCGAAGGGCAGCCGGTCCTCAGGGCCCGCGGAGCCCGGGGCCTCAAAGCCACGAGGCCTGCCTCTCCCCCCTCCCCCCGGCGGAGGTGAACGTGGCACGGCTGGGAAGCCTCTTCCTTTCCTCACACCGGTTTCCACACGGCGGGGAACATGGCCGCCCCCGGCCCCTCAGCCCACAGCTTCGGCCACTTCCTCCAGCGCCCGAGGGCGCACATCGCAAAGGGGCTGCATTTGGCCAGGTCACGGGTGGAGGTGTCCCGTGCCCGCTTCGGTCCCGCCCGGCGGCAGCCAGGGGAGCCAGGCCCACGGCTCGGCTCTCAGAGGGAGGCGAAGGGTTCTCCAAAGGAGGAGGCCCCCTTCCCAGAAGGGAGCCTGCCCCGCGCCTGCACACGCCGCCTCCTGCCCCGCGGATCTTTTTCCTCCCCCTGCGCTTCCGCCTCCTCCAAACCTGGACCCTGCCCTTAGCCTGTGGCTCTTCCAGGAGGCGTTGGGCTCTAACTGTGGCTCACCTTCCGAACGCACTCCCTGGCTCAGCCCCACTCTTGGACAAAGCTGTGTGCCGGGCCACTCCCCAGGCCACGCTGGTCAGCTGTGGTGGGACAGAGGCACGCGGACCCTTGGCCAAGCCACGGCGCGTGGCGCTTAGGATGGCGGCGCCCTCGGTCGGGGCCGGACGTGCAGACGGCGGCAGGCACCGCGACCCTGCGTGCTTTTTTACCCCTTGAATAGCCCTGTGAGAGGTCCTTTTATAGATGAGGACCTTGCGGCTCAGAAAGGTTAGGTCATTTTCCGAGTGGCGGAGCCGGGATTCAAACTCAAGAGCAAAGTCACACCACTTCCGTGACAGCACTCGGGGCATGGAACTCAGTCACTCCCACCAGCACGCAAGCTAACACGTGCGGGGACACGAGCTCCCGGGTACGACACTGGTTTCTGATGAGAAAGAAAATAAAAAATTGGCAGAGCCAGGAAATGGGGGAGGAAAAACGCAAACTTGCATTTTTATGCCCGTGAAAGAGCTAATGATAGTCTTTCGCTTTTAAAGGTAGACTTTTGTTTATTCATTCGTTCAGCAGGTAATCATGAATGCCTTCTGCCCGCCAGGTCCTGAAAAAAGACCGACAAACGACCCTAGAAGCCACGCTCCCTGCAGTTCTCCCATTCGGCCAGCAGAGGGGGCGAGTGCCAGCTCTGTGCAAGGCAGAAAACCCAGCAGGTCCGGACACCTGCTGATCTGGGTGGCCCAGCTGGGCTGGCCCAGAATGCCGGCGACAGAGCAATCCCAGGCGTCCTTTCAGGTCTTTGGAGTGACAGTTAGGGGACCCCGGGAAGATCTAAGACCAGTCCTGAAAAACGGGTCTGGGAAGATGAGGAATGTGCAAAGGAAGCCCTGGGTAGAAACAACCTATTCCACCGACAAAAAAAAAGGGTCAGAGGATCCGGAAACTGGCAAGGACCTCAGGTGCAAAACAGTCCCCTTTGACCACAGCCAAGCCCTTGCTGACCAGGACTGAATCGTGGGACCCCACGTCCTAGCCTCTAACATTCTGCTCTGCTCAGTGGGGGAGAAGGAAGCGTTCTTCATCTTTTTGTTATACCACGTTAGGGTGGAAGATGCCTAAGATACCAAGAGTGAGTTGAGAAGGAAGTGCAGGAGCATACAAGGCCATGGACAGTTGGCAAATTCACTCGGGACCTGTCGGGACCGGGAGAGTGCTGAGCTAATTATTCAGGCTGACATTGCAAGGGTGGTGCTCTGCCTCCCCGTACAACAGAATGGCTGTGGGCACAACTCGTCCACTGCTCACTGCTCCCCTAAAAGCTGAGAGAGACATGAAAGCCAAGTGACTCGGCCCCACCCACTCTGCAGGGCACTTGTGCTAGAGGATCAAAAGCCTGCTCAATTAGGGGTGCGTGGGTGGCTCAATCAGTTAAGGCTGTGACTCGATTTCCACTTGGGTCATGGTCTCAGGCTTGTGGATTTGAGTCCTCCGTCAGGCTCCGTGCTCGGCACAGAATCTGCTTCAGTTTCTCTCTCTCTCCTTCTGCCTCTCCCCTCACCACGCTCTCTCTCTCTCTCAAATAAATTAAAAAAAAAAAAAGACTGACCAATTAAGAATAAACCCCATCACACCAAGTGACCCCTTCTGACTATAAAATGAGGAATTTGGGGGGGAATTTCGAACATTCTCCCCGGTGCATACATTCCGGATTTCCTGGTTTTCACGAACTGAAATGATAAAATCAGCTTTTCCACTTCCTTAACATAAGCCCTCATTGATCATCTTATTTTCAAGGCAACAACAAAATCCCAGGAAAATTTAAAACCCAAATCCAAGGAGGCACCAGAGTTAACTTTGCTGTGTATAAATTTTGAAAATTCTAACCGGAACATAAGGGAAAGATGGCATGCAGACAATGACAAATGACGCCGCGTTAAAACTGAAATCACATCACCACGCTGAGGGGTGAGGAACAAAGGAGCTGACCTAAGCCCCAGGCACCCAGGGTTTTTGCTGGCTACTGTAAGGTGAAACTAGATGAACTGTACCCGCACACACCGTAGATGAACTGTACGCGCCCACACCATGCTCTAGCTGATACATTTGTTTCTCCCAGGGCTCTGTATTCAAACGACTTTATATGTATGCTAGGATTGAACTACATAAAAATATTTTAGACGGTAAGAACCAGGTTTTCTCCCTGTAGGAGACCAAAGTTATAAACAAGGAACGCAGGAAGTTTGGAATGAGCTCTGTGGAGCTAGACTCCAGTCAGAGTACCAGTCCCAGCTCAGGTTTGTTCTAAAGACAGAGAAAGGAACCAAAGTGTGTGTACACACGGGCTAAGTGGGTGTGTGTGTGTGTGTGTGTGTGTGTGTGTGTATGCATAGAAGCCTAGAAGCAGTGACTTCCCTGCTTCCATGAGCACACCTACTATCCTGAACTTGGTTTCTAAACCCAATTCTACAGTAAAAAGGAACTAAGACTCCTTGGTTAGTGGCCAGTTCTAGGGCTGAGGCAAGAAAAATGCAAGATGACAAGATGAGCCTGGAGCATCTTGAGTTCCACGAAGTGAGAATGAGCCAAAGGGTAAAAGAAAAAGGAAGCGATGAAGAGAGGAAGGGAGGGAGGGAGGGAGGAAGGAAGGAAGGAAGGGAGAATAAAGAGCATGGAGCCCTATCAAAAGGACACAGACACTAACCTGAAAGAGGCCCCACCACCACCACCACAGTCATAACTGTTGCAGGCAAGATCCACCAGTGGATGATGTCGTGGGTTCAACTGTGTCCCCTAAAAAGAGGTATTGAAGTCCCGACTCCTGGTTCCTGTGAATGGAATCTTATTTAAAATTGGGCTCTGTGCAAATGTAATGAAGTTAAAATAAAGCAGCCTCAGGGGAAGAGCAGACAAAGGCACACACAGGAAAGACAGCCATGGAAAGACAGGCAGAGATGGGAGTGAAGCGGCCACGAAGCCAGGGACGCCAAGGACGGCCAGCAGCGGCCAGGAGCTCAGAGAGAGGCATGGAACACATTCTCCCTCAGGGGCTTCAGAAGGAATCAACCCTGAAGACACCTCAATCGCAGCCTTCTGGCCTCCTAAACCGTGGAAGAATACACTTATGTGGTTGGGGGCCAACCAGTTGGTGGTGATTTGTTACATAAGCCCTAAGAAACTAATACAGATGGTAAAATTAGTAAGTGAAACCTTAAGCGGAAACAGGATATTGGCCTAATCTCAAAGGATCTCCTCTCAAATGTTCACTGCAAAGGGAAAGACCAAAGTGAAAGCTGGCGGGCCCCGGCCTCGACCAAACGATCAAGGCTAACATCGCTGGTGACAGGCATGGACATCACGTTCCCGTTACGGGAAGGGCACATCGCCTCCGCGGATCCTTTCCATAGCACAAATCCCCCATCGAATCAGGAGAAATAGCCGGCAGACTGAAGCGGACGGGCATTCTACAAAATTACACAAGGCTACACTGTAAATCATGGGATCATGAACCCCAAGAAAAAGAGGAGGGACCATCACAGCTCAGAGACCAGACAATTAACTGCTACAGGCGATCCTAGGTCATGATCGGCACAACGGGTGGGATCTGAACAAAGAGGCAGCGTAACTGGTAGTATGGTACCGGGGCTTCATTTCTTAGTTTCAATCGTTGGTCTGCAGGGATGCGAGATGTTAACACAGAGGGAACTGAGGTGAAGGGCACACAAAAACTCTTCGTACCGATTCCGTAACTCTTCTGCACATTCAAAGTGATCTCCAGATTCTAAAAATAATTATCAGGGGGTGGGGAGTGGTGTTACTGGCGAGGGTGGGGGGCGGAGGGAAGCGGGGATTGACATCCGGTGGGGAGAGTCAGCCAAATCATCACTGGTCAATTCAGACCTACGAGATGAGGCACGGTAGCATGAGGCTCAATATGAACCGTGCCACCACAATCACATTTTCAGTCGACAAGGCACCAACAGGGTGAATTGTTCAAAAAACAGCACAACGTGTTTAACATTTTTATTTTTAACTCTGCTTTGGTAGTACAAAAGTCGTAAAAGTACAAACCAGACAGTTAAAAATACTATTGACACTCAAAATGGTGAAAAATTTCCTTTACAAATTTTTACATCAAGGTGGCAGCCAACTCACTCATTCTACCAGAAGACAGGCCATCATTAGTGTTTTGTATAGCAAGTTGGTTGTGGACCCCCAGTCCTTCCACAGAAGGAAGAAAAACACAAGCCTGTAAACATCGGCTGCTTTGGGAACACTTAAGAATTCTTATTAGTAAAAAGCTTATGTGTTAAAGCACTGAATGCTTAACTTTTGGCATGTTTGGAAGCCAGCCAGGCAAAAACTGCTCAAGTATTAGAAAATATTTAAAACGTACTCTTGGTATAAACACAATTTTAAATATTTTTGAGTATTCTCTTGCCTGTTGTATTGCTATAAAAAAGTGCTCTGACCTGAATAAAATTAAAAAATAATTAAAGCTGAAGGAATATCTTACATTTTGTCCCTCACCATTTGAGGGCATTATACTTTTCAAGCCAAAAATGATGCCTTTTTTTTTTTTTAAACTAAAACTATTGGTCTAGACTGCACATATAGTATTTACACTAATACACACCCCCAAAGTTCTTCTATTGCTCCTTTCTGGACTTTAGCGGAATTTCTCTCCATACCGACTTCTCCCAGTCCTCTGTGTAGATGTATGGACACACGTACAGCTCTTATCAGTTGTCAGAAAAAATTCATGTGAAATTGAACCTACCATTCATTTCAAAGGTTGGAAATTTGTAGTTTGATGTGAGGAACAGAACGGAATGAGTAAATTGACAGTAAATACTTGAAACGACATTTTTATGGAAATCCTCTTTGGGGTGAAATGAGAAAGATGCTCTTTCTCTCTGAGATAACATCAGTGCCCCCAGGCCCACACCAACACTGACACGGGGGCACCTGTAACTGGATGCTCCCAGGCCCCGGCCCCCGCCGGTCAGAAATGCGCCACTATCTCTGCCTCTGGTTCTCGTGGGGTTTTCGTACACTGCATAGCTAAACAAATAAATACATAAAAGTGGGGTTTTCCAGGCTTCCAGGGGAAATGCGACCCTCCAGAATCTTTTCAAAAACAAGCCTTGGTTATAGGATATGAAATAGGAAGTGCCCTCGGAAAACACGCCAGAGGAAGGTACAGGCCCGTTTTATGTCGGAAGTTGGGCATATTTGTTTTGTTTTGGCCTTGGGCTGTCAAAACAGGCATTCTGTTGTTTTGTTGTTTTGATTTTAGTCATTTTAAACTACTGTCCCCCTTTATTCAATGGACAAAGTAAGAACTGCTTAGCGCAAGTTTAAAAAAAAACATACTCTCAATATTTTTATCAGTGACCGAGGAGTGGCATGGTGGTGGCGAGTTAATGTTGACTTCTTGGCCCAAGATTCAAAAGTCTGGCATCTGGTTCCATCTGACTCCATGACCAATTATTCAGGGCTAGACCAGACTATCTGCAAGGACCTTTCACCCCCACTGAAGCTTCATCTTTATCTTCTGTTAAACTGCAAGAGGATCTTCTTGCAACCAGTTGCAAAATGAGACCTACGGGTTGGGAGAAGAGAGGCACGTGTGCACAGATGTGGATGCGTGCACGTGCGCACGCGCGCGCACTCACAGTCACTCGCACAACAACACCCCCGAGCATCAGCTCAGAGTGTACACGAATAGTTCCATTGCACAGAGGGATCGTGCTGGAAAAACTGCAAGGTGTATCAAGGCCAAGGAATGGGGATTGGGAGGTACGGTGGTTGGGGAAAACTGAAAAAATGAGCTCTTTTCTTCACTGGAAATGTAATAAATTTTCCATCAGACTTTTTAACCCAAAACCTGTTTCCAAGCAAACTGAATTCTGTATCCAGCATATAAACGCTTTTATCCCCATGTCTGCAGACTCTGCAATAGAAACTGTATAAAAATTTTTAAAAATCCCCCAGGCAACTCCTTATCTTGTAAGTCTTCAGTGTCTTAGAACTCTTCAAATCAAGTCACCCCTGCAAGAGAAAACACAAAGGTAAAGCTTTCCAGAAGGTAAACATCATATCACATATTCACCTGCGTGGATATTTAAAAACACAGGGGAATGGTAGTCCTTCCTCACCGCATCTCACCCCACCCCACTGTTTTCCTTCCCCATCCCCCATTTCTTCTAGAATTCAGTCTAAAGAAATGCAAGTACCACAATTTCAAAAGGACCTCATTGTCAAGGTTTTATAAACCAAGAAAGAAGAGAATTCGAGAGCCACAGTGGACTAAGGGTATCAGTCCGTTTCAACAGGAGTTTCTAAAGTGACCGACTAGTTGAGCACTCTGCCCTGAGGCATGTATCCCCTTCTTCCCAGGAATGTGTTCTTTAACTCCTCGGCCACATTCCGCCAAGTAAGGAGCAGCAGGGTGAACGTGCTGAGGCATGACGAAAGCGCTATGCGTCAGATGAGGCATCTTTCCCCAGCCACACCAGACGGAGTTAAGTCTGGGTCTCTACAGCCTCTTGGCTGGGGCCTCAGGGGCCAATAGCAGGAGCAGTGACGAGATGCCCGTTCTTAGGTGTTCCTTGTTTAACTCGAGGCCGGTGTTGTGGTTTTCAGTCCTAACAGCCAGCCCCTGTCACTGTCTATATTCTCCTTACAAATGAAGGCCCAGGGTAAACTTGGAAAACAGTTTATTTTCCAAAGCTGTTTTCTTTTTTAGATTTTTTTATTTATTTGAGAGAGAGAGATAGAGAGAGTGAGAGACAGCACAAGTGGGGAGGAGAGGGAGATGCAGGCTTCCCGCGGAGCAGGGAGCGCGATGCGGGGCTCCATCCCAGGACCCCGGGATCACGACCTGGGCGGAAGGCAGCCGCTTAACCGACTGAGCCACCCAGGCGCCCTCCAAAGCCGTTTTCAATTGCTGTTGTTTCTACAAAGGTCTCATCTAAGGGACAGACGGCTGTGTGCCCGTTTACGGTCCTGTCTGGAAGCCGGGGATCACTCAGGACAGACTGAGATTCTAGCGCTGCCTCTGTGTGTCGAAGCGGGCACACCACGCAGGCCACCCCACACCAGTTAAGGAACGAAGTCGTTTCCCGTCTGCTGACAAACGCGAAACAAACCCGCAAGAGGCCAACTTGCAGGAACACAAGAGCAAAAGGTCAACAGAGACACCTTGATTTACATGTTACACTGTATTTATTTTACAGCTCCTTCCTCAGGATCTACAGTGTGATATTATCCTTTTCTGTCATTCTGTCATTTAGAATATTGATCATAGTTATGAGAGAGAGAGACAGAGAGGAAGAGAAAGAAAGAGAGAGAAAGAGTGAGAGAGAGAGAGAGATTACCTAAACTAGAAGGTTTGGGTAAAGGATCCTTAACCCCTTCGCTAAAAAGGAAATAAAACACTGTCCCCTAAAAGAGCGAGCATGCAGTTTTTAATATGAATGGAGACAATAATTCTCTGCCCTGCCTTGCTACAGCCTAGCGCGGCCGAAGCTCAGAGCCGAGCACAAGCCAGTCTGGGAATAGTTTCATTTGAGAGTTGATGAGTATGAAAGATGCTAGCGGGGGGAAAGGGAGGAAAGCCAGAGGTGGAGAAATAGAAAAATGGTCCTGAAAGACAAAACAGTGAAAAAAAAAAAAAAAGAAGAGCGAATTTTCAAAGCCAAACTTCAAACTAGGCCATTATCTGTAAAATAGGTGTTCAACTATTTTTATATCTCCTCCTTTTATCATCTGCTCCCTTAGACCTAGATTTTTTTGCATCAAGGAAAACAGGAAGGTCAAGGGCGAGGAATGTCAGGCCTAGAATGTAATGTTCCATCACAGTCAGAGTTTTTGATCCAACGGAGGAGAACCTCCCATTTAGAGTTCTTTGCACAGATTTAACCGACTTTAAAGAGCGGGCAAGACAGAGGCCTGGGCTGGGAAAGAAGCTGGAGCAAGAGCCTGGATTCTAATCCAGACCCCGTGACCCGCTGCTGAACCTTGGCCCGCTCTGGAGCATTTCCTCAAAGGGTGGTTTTACAAAAGATGATCTATGTACCATGGTTAACACGGGGCTAGCAGTCAATACGCCCCCAAAGCTGAGTCATTATGATCCTTCCCCTCATCCAACTGCCCTAAACCATCATGTTGGCTCCAACAGCTGCCTTCCGAGGCTGATTAAAACTGCACTGTGCGCAGTTTGAGAGAGGAAGCGAGAAACACAAATTTACAGAATTAAGTTAACCTTTCTAAAAACCCTATTAAAGTCACCCAGCACCAAGGTGCAGTTCTGGGCTCTCCTTCTTCAAAAACACGTGCTTATCCAAAGGCAGCACTTTACCAGCATAGCTGCTATCCATTTCCAGGTAAATACCTCTCTTATCAGAATGAGGATCCAGGGGAAAGAAGACACCACGTACTCCGTGGCTTGTAAATTTCCAGCTGTGACCTTAAGGCCGGGGCTGGGTTCACAGGTGCATTTCCACATTGTTAAATTTCTCCTCATTGCGTCCGACAGTTGTGAACATACCCAGACTGATAAACAAAACACAGACTTTTAAACGATATTTAACACACCACATTAATATTAAAAGGTGCCTTTCTTAAGGCCTTAGAGCAGTCAGAAACCATGTGTGGGCTAGCATAAATGCCAGGGCAGGCCAGCAGCAGTGGCTGGACTGGGAGAAAATCCTCCATCCACCCCTCGTTCTCAGTTCCCATCACCATGGGATCCACCATATCGAACAAATCGAAACTCTCTCTGAGGAAATTTGGTGATTACAGTCTTACACGTGAATGTTCAAGCTGAAAGAAGTTAAGCAAAACTTCCTTACATTTAAAAGATGATTCAGGGGGCGCCTGGGCGGCTCAGTCAGTTAAGTGTCTGCCTTCAGCTCAGGTCATGATCCCAGGGTCCTGGGATCAAGCCCCGCATCGGGCTCCCCACTTGGTGGCAAGCCTGCTTCTCCCTCTCCCACTCCCCCTGCTGTGTTCCTTCTCTCACTGTGTCTCTCTGTCAAATAGATAAATAAAGTCTTAAAAAAAAAAAAAAAAGATGATTCAGAAATCCCTAGTGTGACCATTTCCCTCCTCAAACAAGGCTGACGCAGAGCAATTAAGAGCTTCAGAAAAGGTTTATCTGGAAAGAAGGAAGAGGTCATTCTAATGATAAAGATAAAACCATAATGCCATGATTAGATTATGGTTCCACAGAAGCCAGAATTCAGTGTAACTTTGCTGAGGACACTTAATGTGCCTTGTTAGAAAGGATTCTCAAGAAAAACTATCTGGTCCCTTTAAAAAGTAGAAACATGTTTCCAAAAACTAGAAGCCTGAGCAGATTAATAGACACTGAACACTAAGACTACCCCAAGGACAGGGTGTCAATCAAGGAGGGAAAACACTCTCTGATTAATAACAACAGTAGCTGACATTTACAGCGTGTTTCTATGTGCCAGGCACCGCCACACTTAGCACCCCAGATTCGTGAACTCAAGCTTTCCAATGACTCCATGAGTCAAGGACAATTCCCATTTTTGTAGGAAGAAACTGAGGCTTCCAGGTTCAATCACTTGCCCAAGGCCACACACTTAGTAGCGGCAAAGCAGCAAGTCCACAGCCCGCAGTCTGACCCGGAAGCCCGCCCACTCATCCCCAAACTGCACTGGCGCACCAGTCACCACAGAGACGTCCACAGCATCACTGAGATCTTCTGGTTCCTTCACTCCCCTGGTCCCCCACCTGTGTGGGGGCAACAGAAGAGAAATGCAGAAATAGAGACCCCGGCAGGACCACTCTCTAGGGAAGTGGCCCTTGTGGCTACACAGGAGCAGAGAAACATGCTGAAAACCCATATCCTACAAGGGGCTCAGGCCCTGAGAAGATCCAAAGTGCACCTTGAATGACATGGCATGACACGGAATAGATACAAGGCTACAGAATCACAGAGCTGGATTAAGAATTTTCTAGAACACATTTAAAGGAAATAGATGGGGAAAGTTGTTTACAGAAACAGAATTAAGATTAGGACAGTAATATTCCTATTCAAAGGCCTAGAGCAACACATATGTGATCTTTCACCAGTAATCCGTGATCCTTTGAGACTCGAATGTTTGTTTGTTTTTAAGATTTCATTTATTTATTTGTCAGAGGGAGAGAGCACGAGCACAAGCAGGGGGAGCAGCAGGCAGAGGGAGAGGGAGAGGCAGGCTCCCCTCTGAACTGGAAGCCCGATGTGGGGCTCGATCCCAGGACCCTGGGATCATGACCTGAGCCAAAGGCAGACGCTTAACCGACTAAGCCACCCAGGCGTCCGAGACTTGAACTTCTTAGAGGATTATCTCCTACCAGGCTCTAACTGAATGCTCTGTGGTCATGTGCTCGCAGGTTCTAGCTGCTGAAAATGTGGGGACAGTACTGCCTGCGTAGGGTGGCATCTTGGCAGGTATAGATTAATGGGAAGATACCAGAATGTACTTGGTGTTTTGTAGTCCTTCAAATTTTGCTCTGGTCTAAATCGAGCATTAAGTTTTATAAACTAATATTAATGCCTTTCTATTTTAATAAAAACTCCATGTTTATTAAAAAGCTAATCTAGGCTGATTGATAGACTCATGCTAATCTAGCTAATCAGTGAGGTCTCTTTAAGTCAGTGTTTCTCAGGATGATGGGTAGCACCTTCTGGGAAGCAACTCAAATGTTATTAAAAACTGCCAATTCTCTGGACTGCACCCATAACCTACTAAATCCAAACTGATGGGATTAGAGCTCAGGACTCTGCTTTCTTACAAGATGCCTTTATGCATATATAAGGGTTTAAGCCATGAGATAAAACTCAGTACTGTTTGTTAACTGATAATAACGTAAGAATTAAATTCACCTCCAAAGGGCAAAACACAACGCTACAAAGTCAGCTGAGGTCAAAAACCAAATGAAAGAAACAGAGGAGGAAAGGGACATGACAGAAACATTTAAAGTCAAATACTAATAAAAATCTCAGCAACTCAATCAGAACTGCAAAATTGTGTAGT